CTTTACAATGAGATACAACACATACTGAAGACTGTGGTCTTTGTTCTTCATCAGTAAGTATTTTAAATCCCCTTCACTTTCAGCTACATATGTGTCATCTTCATATTGCAGGTTGTACTGAGTCTTCTTTCAATCCTTGTGCCACGTTCTTCTTCATGTATTAATTCAGCTTCTTAGATTATTTCCTCAGCATATCGATTGAACAAACATGTTGCAAATGTATACACCTGGCACACTCCTTTCCTGCCTTTAAATAATTCAGTATCCCCTTTTTATGTTCAAATAACTGCCTCATGCTTTATGTGCAAGTTCCTCATGAGCAAAAATAAGTACTCTCAAATACTCTTTCTTCTCTGTATTGTCCATATCTTGTCATAATCTACACAGTTAAAAGGTTTTGCATAGTAAATAAAGCTTATGTAAACATATTTCTGGTATTCTCTGCTTTCAACCATGATTCATTTAACATCAGCAATGATATCCTTAGTTACACATTCTCTTCTGAATCCAGCTTGAATTTCTGGCATTTCTCTTTCAGAGTTTAATTGCAGTCATTTTTTAATCATCTCCCAAAAAATTTTACTTTATGTGATATTAATTATATTGTTTGATGATTTTTATCCACCACATTCTTCAGTATTGTAACTCTAGGCTTTTTTTTTTCTTCTTAATTTCTTACAGCCTGAGAAATATCAAGTGTATGCTTCCCTTTCAGGATTCTAAATTCAGCTTTTTGAACATGTCATTATAACACTTTGTCTTCTTATACTGCTCTTTGAAATTAGTTCAGCTTTTTTGTTTCACCAATTCTTTCCATTGTTTAGCTACTCTGTTCAAGAGTTAATTTCAGAGACTCTTCTGACACTCATTTGCATTTTTGCTTTCTTTCCAGTCTTTTTATTGTCCCTTTTCTTTTTGTCCTCATGTATGATGCCATTACACAACTCATCTGGTCATCTGTCATTAGCATTTAGTAAAATCTGTATTTGAGACAGTCCCTAAATTCACATGAGATATACTCAGAATCATACGTTGGCTCTCTTGAACATGTTTTCCATTGGAGAATGATGAGACTCTCTGCTCCCTTAAAGGATGGCAGTCTTGAAAATCCTAAGATGCAGTTCTATTCTTTCTTACAGGGTTGTTATGCTTCAGAATAGATTTGATGTCAGTGGGTTTGGTTATCTTAATTTTTTTCAGCTATAAATTGAAATTACAAAGTTAGTGCTGCACTCATCCCCTGACTTTTTCTGATGAATGATATCAAGTTTTACCTTCATATCTTTCCATAGCATACACACACAAATACTTCTTTTATTTTGCAGAATATTTTAAAGAGTAATATTTTTTAATAAGAAGTAAATTTAGTCTGGGTTACACCTTAACATAAAGGAAACAAAAATTAACTCTACTGTACCAATAAGCAACAACTTGATAAACAGACAAAATATTGAAGGTGTCAAGTATTTCCTTTTGGGCATCATCAATTCATGCTCAAATTAAAAAGAAATGATGTGTCTTTGAGAACTAAGGTACACCTGAACAAATTCATGGTGTTATGAATTAGTTCATATGCATGAAAACTGATGAATGAATGAGGAGGACCAAAGAAGAATTAATACCTCTAAGTTATGATGATAACAAAGAATATTAAATATACTGTAGACTGTCAGGAAAACATACAAACCTTGAAAGCAATACAGCCAGAATGCTACTTAGAAGAAAGGATATTGAGAGTGTGTCTCATGTATTTTGGACATTATATATCAGGAGTATTCAGTCTCTGGAGAAGGACATCATGTATAGTAAAGAAGAAGCTCACCAAAAAGGAGGAAAACCCTCAACAAAATAAATGAACACAATGGTTACAACAGTAGACTCACACATAACAATGATTGTAAGGGTGGTGCAGAACCTGGTAGCGTTTCCTTTTGTTGTATGTAGGATCACAATGAGTCAGAACTTACTTGATGGCACCTAACAATAACAAACATTAAAGTTTAGAAGTTATTATATTTTTAAAACAGAAATCTGAGATATTCCCTAAATACCTCATTTTCTGATATCAGATAACACAGTGATTCCTCTTTCTATCGTTTGCAAATATATGGAAGAGTATATCTTTAACACTGGACTTTGTTATGATTCTATTCTAAGTATGGGCAATAATAATATTAGAAGTGGTGGTGGTGGTTATGTGCTATAGAGTCAGTTCCGACTAATAGCCACCCTGTACAGGTTTTCCGAGGCTGTAAGTCTTTACGGGAGGAGAAAGCCTCATCTTTCTCCCGCGGAACAGCTAGTAGTTTCGAATTGCTGACCTTAGGTTCACAGCCCGATTTGTAACCACTACACTAGAAATTTTTATACCTTAGGTTTTCATTGCTTAATTGTTATAGTTAAATAGCTACCTTATTATAATGACGTTATCCTGTTCAAGCCTATTATGACTCAGTAAAAGGATATTTAAAATAATTATCTTGAACCAAGTGCTGTATTCAGTAAGGAATGGAGGTGGTTATGTGCCGTGGAGTCGGTTCCCACTCATAGTGACCCTGTACAGGGCTTCCGAGGCTGTAAATCTTTACGGGAACAGAAAGCCTTGTCTTTCCCGCGAACATCCGGTAGTTTTGAACTGCTGACCTTAAGGTTCGCAGCCTGCTTGGTAAGAAGTAGAATATTAGTAACATACATAATGATAACCTTTTATATGATAGATTGTGAGTTGGAACCCACTTAAGGGCATCTAATAATAAGGACAATAATTCATCAGAAAATGTTCATAATAAGAAATATTTGTGTTAAATCACCCTATTTACATTTTGAAGTATTGAAGCACAGTGCTTATATTATTTTTTTCACTTTGTTTTACCTTTCCATTTACTAGAAAAATTTGAGAAATAATTTTGTTATTTTGCTAAGTTATTGTTCAATATGTACCATGTTTCTCTTTCTTTTTAGCGTGTAGTGACCTGGAGTTCAGGGAAGTGGCAAACAGATTGCGGGACTGGTTCAAGGCCCTTCATGAAAGTGGAAGCCAGAACAAGAAGACAAAAGCATTACTGAGACCCGAGAGAAGCAGTAAGGTTTTTCTATTTTGTACATTTTATTTTTATCTTCTGTATGAGATTGTATTTCCAATGAATCACTCAATTCTAAACATATAACCTAAGTTTAATCTTTACTTATATTCTAAACAAAAATTATGACATGGTTATTACTTCCAAGGACACTCAGAATCATTTAAAAGGAAAAAAAAAAAAAGCATTGCGGGCAACTCTCTGTAATAAAAGGGAATGGTTCCTCATAGACAGCATTTGACTTCTAGTGGCATTGAAATTTTGTTAATATTCTTCAGTCTTTTAATGATATAGCATAGAACAATATAATAAATAAATATATGAATTTTGAAGGACATACATGTTTAGAAAACACTATTAGTTCAAAATTTTACTAATTTCGCAATGCTTTAAAGATATGTTTTATTTAAAACCAACAAAAATACCCAAACCAACTGCCATTTAATCAACTTCAACTCTCAAGACCTTGTATAGGGTTTTGGAGAATTTCATCTTTCTAGGCACAGAAAGCATCACCTTACTCCATGTAGTTGTTGTTGTTGTTAAGTACAAGCAAGTCAGTTATAACTCATAGTGACCTTGTATAAATTTTCCAAGGAGTAACAGGTGAGTTTGAACCACCGACCTTGCTGTTAGCAGTCTAGCTATCATTCAGTGCCACCAGAGCTCTTGCTGACTTCTTTAGCCAAATCATAACTGCATGGAATGGATGAACAGGCAAAAAAAGAAAAGAAAAGAAAAGAAAAAGACATACTAGAAACTAAATGAACGAAAGACAGACAAAAAAATCAAGTCATGTGATTCTTCTGTAATTATTTTGGCTTTTTTATAATTAACCAAGCTAGGCATTAGGCAAGTTGGCTGCAAAATACCTTTTGCACACTTAAAAAGCTAAGATGTCACTTTGAGGTCTAAGGTGTGTGGCTCACCATAGTATTTCCAATACCACCTCATAATTATGTACAAGTTGGGCAATGAATAAGGAAAACCATAGAAGAATCAATTCATTTGAATTGTGGTGTTGGAAAAGAATTTTGAAATTACCATTGACTGCTAGAAGAACAAACAAACCTGGCTTGGAATAAATACAGCCAGAATGTGCCTTAGAAGTGAAGATGGCAAGATTTCATCTCTCATACTTTGGACATGTTATCAGGAGAGACAAATCCCTGGAGAAGGACATTATCCTTGGTAAAGAGGAGGTCCAGCAAAAAAGAGGAACTCTCCCAACTAGATGGATTGGCACAATGACAGCAACAAAAGGCTCAAACTTAACAATAATTGTGAGGATGATACAAGATTGGACAGTGATTTTTTTCAATTGTGTGAAGTGTTATTATGAGTTGGAAACAACTTGAGGGCACCTATCAATAACAACAGCAACAATACTTCACAAAACATTCTTTCTAGTTCCATAGAAATAGTAATACAAAATAAAATAGGGCACTTGTTGTACATGGTTTATCAATTTAATAATTTTTCATGTTTTTAATTTGTAGAAAGATATGTATATATGCATATAAAAAAGGATGCTCAAACATGGGTTACATTTTAGGAAGCTTTAGAAGATTGAAAGCAATTAATTGCTCTAAAATTCAAGAAGAAGAGTTGAGGAAGCAATTTTTGAGCAGCATCTATTAGGAGACAAAGTTTGTTGCTGTAAATCGACTTTCTTTTCTCCTCTTGACATGACCCATCCACTCTTACTAAACTCCTTAGAGTACTTTAAAATGAAATCACATAGTCAAATGGCATAGTCTCCATAATCTCTGTTTCATAAAATGACTCCCTTGTTTTCTTCTTATCAAAGGATTTTCTATAGTTACAAATATTTTCTGTTAGGAATTTTAGTTATGTTTTTAAATAATGTAAAGAGAAATGAAGCTATCACTTTCAGATATAATTATGTTTGATTACTGCATATTTGTTGTTTCTTAATAATTCTCTTAAGGAGTGATAATAGTTTCCTTAATATGTGGAAGTGTTTCTCACTGTTGTTTTCAAAATTCTTGACATGAATTTTGGTCAGTTTTCCAGGAAAAAAATACTTTCTTATTAAATAGAAACAAAAAGTAAGTATAATGGCCATAGAAATCATGTAGCAAATACATCTAGGGTATGAATAAGATTTCTACTAGACGAGAATATTTTGATTTTTATTGTGCTGACAGTTTTTTGTTTGTTTGTTTGTGTGTTTTCATTTGTATTCTCCCCCATTACTCCCAATGGAGCACTTTTATTGCTTGCTTTCACATTTCTTGATTGAGCACAACTCTGAGTCAGACTAATGACTCCTTTTAGGTTTGGGATGAGTAACAAGAAAGCTTGTAGAACATTCAGCACACTTCCTGCTTAATTGTGAACATTCATAATACATTATTTCTCTTTTCAACTTGTTTTTTTCTTTCTGCAATATTTGCCATAAGAGTCTCAAGAGAGTGGATCTTAATTACAGTAAAAGCCATGAGTATTGAGTATCTTTGAAGGTTAAATTAAAAAATGGATCATATTGTTCTTTATAGCGCATGGATGATTTAGCGGCCTATTAGGAGTAAATGTACAAAAGCAAGCTGTCCATTGAAACATATATGACAAAAACAGAGTAGAAATGATTGGATCAGCACACCCATTGAATCTATCCATTTTCTATTATATTTAATTTATAAACCAATCTTCCAATATTATATTCTTAATCTCCATTCTCTTCTTGGTTTCTTCTATCTAACATACTGCATACTCAACTTACTTATTTGGTTTATTTTCTTTCTCTCCCCACTAGACTCACTAAAAACTCAATGAAGGCAGAGATCATTATTTATCACTGTATCCCAAGAGCTTAAAGTAGAATTTTTATACATGATATTCACTAAATTAAAAAAGTGGACTAAATTAATTAAATAAAGAAGGAATATGTTAATAACTAAAATAGTCCATTGTATAGACTAATTTATTGTTATTCCTATAGGAATTATAGTTTCCTGTTCCCATATTTTCTCTGTGAAAAACTGCTGCAGTCAATTTTGTATGATTTTATTACTATGATAAATATTCCAAGCAATTTAATTTGTCAAATGCACATAAATTATACATTATGAAGGTTCATAGATGCTACTAGACTGCTCAGCAAAAATGTAAGGCATCAAATTTCCAGCAGCAAGGCATCAGAGCTAAATTTTATCTACCTCAGTTTCAATGAAATGTATTATTATTTTACTTGCAGTTTCTATTTTCTATTCTGTGCATGATATTATATATCATGGTTATTTTTATATACACTCATTTTATTACTGGTGAATTTGAACATATATCAATATAGGAAAAAAAAATATATAAAAACAAATTAATAAAATCACCATAAATGTGTCTGTTTAATTCTATGAAAGGCATATTGTTTGATTTCATTCTGATTTTGTTAAGTCAGGTTGACATCTTCAATAATTTTTGCTTTATATGTTATTTGTTGTTTTGTGCTCTAGAGTTGGTTCTGACTCATAACAACCTTGTATACAATTTCCAAGGATCATCTGGTGGTCTTGAACTGACAACCTTGTGTTTAGCAGTCAAATGTTTTTCCTACAGCACCACACTGAGACCCCACTTTGTATCTTATTGTTATTGTTGTTGCCATTGAGTCAGTACTGACTCAGATTCACCTTATGCACAACAGAATGAAACACTGCCTAATCCTGAGCCAGTCTCATTACTACGCTTGAGCTCATTGTTGCTGCCACTGTGCCAATCCATCTTATTGAGGGTTTTCCTCTTTATCTCTTACCTTCCACTTTATCAAGTATGATGTCTTTCTCCTGGAACTGGTCCCACCAGATAATATTTCTGAAGTTTGAGAGATGAAATCTGGCCATCCTGGCTTCTAAGGAACATTCTGACTATTTCTTCCAACATAGATATGTTTGTTTGGGGGCAAGCCAATAAGCCATTAAAGATTTTCCCCAAAAACAAAAACCAAAAGCAACAAGTCCAAAAGTTTTTTTAATCAATGCCAAACTTTTACATGAGGTTATTGAAAATAACAATGGCATGGGTCCGTGCACCTAGACCTCAAACTGACACCTTTATGTACTTGTTGTTGTTGTTAAGTGCCATCAAGTTGGTACCGACCCATAGAAACCTTATGCACAGCAGAATAAAACACTGCCGGATCCTGGGCCAATCTCACTGCTATGGCCACGCTTGAGTCCATCGATGCTGCCACTTGGCCAATCCATCTCGTTGGGGTTCTTCCTCTTTTTCTTTGACCCTCCACCTTACCAAACATTATATCCTTCTCCAGTGACTGGTCCCTCCTGACAATTTGTCTGAAGTATGAGAGATAAAGTTTGGCCATCTTGGCCTCCAAGGAGCATTCTGGTTGCACTTCTTCCAAAATGGCTCTATTGGTTCTTTTGGCAGCCCATGGCACTTTTAATATTCTCCTCCAACACCATAACTCAAAAGCATCAATTCTTTATGTCCTAGAGGCTCAATTTTTAGAATATACAGGCTTATGCTCTTAGCATATTATCAAACTATGAATGTTGTTGTTATTAAGTGTTGTTGAGTTGGTTCCGACTCATAGTGACCCTATGTAGGATTTCCAAAGAGTGACTGGTGAGCTCGAACAACCGACCTTGCAGTTCAAACAGACTTTGCAGTCCAGAGCATTAACCCATATTGCCACACCAGGATTCCTAAATAATGCATATTATTAGTTTATTAAGGATATCAGGTAGTACAGTATCTAAAAGCTCAGCTGAAAACTTAGTGGTTCAAACCCTCCAGGAAGTGTGCATGGAAAAAAAAAATTGTGGACTTGTGCTTCCATAACTATTACAGCTTTGAAACACTTACTACTCTGTTTTATAGGGTTTCTATGAATCAGAATTGATTCCACAGAGAAGTGTTTGGTGTTTGTTATGCTTCTAATGATAATTTATCTCATACATTCAATTTTATTATATTTACCTAATATTCCTATTCCTATTTTATTTTCAATTTTTCTTT